AGGGTTAAATAGATCGTCCAAATACCCTATTATAAGAGATTGGTTCAAATAAGGAAAGCAAAAAAATCGTGCCCAGAATGAACCATGCGACTGCATGGTTATAAAAATTTTACACTGTCCATCTCCTATTGGTGCTTATGCAACTGCATGAACTTTCTACCATGCGACTATATGGTAGAAATTTTTTTCCATTTGGTTCACTTTAGTCCTCAAACTTTATTTCATTTACCCTTTGGCCTTACTTCTTTCTCCTTCTTCTTTTAACATTCCATAACATCACAATGTGTTACTTAGCTCAATTCCATACTTGATTCACCATTCGGGTCATCTTCTGGATAATTGCATTTTGGTCCACAAAGTTTCATTTTCTTTCCTTTTGGCCATTGTTCGCTTATTTCTTCCAAATTACGCCATATCCATAGGATTGCCACCTAAGTCAAAATATAAACGCAATGAGTATATTTTGGCACTAATTAATCATACAAGTACATAAAATAAGAAGGGAAAAATATACATTTTACATTCCTCTCAATGAAATACTTGAAAATTTTGAAAAACTCGCTTTAAATAATTTTTCTCAAAAAGAAGTATTCTTTGTTAAAAGATAAAGTAAAGAAAATTTTGGAAACACAAAAAGATCTTGAAAAAGAAAAAAATTAATCATAAATGTTTGATTAAAGAAAACTCTTCCTTAAAAGAAAAGATCGAACATTTAAATAAAGCTGTTTACAAGTTTACTCAAAATGAGAAAATTTTTGACTTCATGCTTGGTGAATAAAAATGTGTCTTCGATAAAAGAAGATTTGAATACAAACCTTTTTTGAAGCAAAAATCTCTCAAAAATATATTTGTCAAAGCATCAAATTCATCTCTTTCAAATATCTCATATAATTTTTATAATAAAGATGGACATGTCACATGTTGCTTTTAATTGTTTAACTAAAAAGAGGTTACATTTTAAAAGCAAATACAAATGGATTCAAGAATCCTTTAGAACTAACTATCAAGGACATAAAGTTGTATGGGTACCAAAAATAAAAAAATTAAATTATTTCTTCTAGGTAATAAAAAAAAAATAAAGAGCAAATGATACTTATATAGTGGATGCTCAAAACATATGACCAGAGATCAAGCTCTACTGTCAAATCTTAAAAAGAAGGAGGAGGTCATGTCACCTTTGGGGATTATGCCAAAGGGAAGATCATTGACATTAGAAATATTAGTAATCACTCATCTCCTTTTATTGAAAATGTTCTATTAGTATATTACCTCGAAAATAAATTGTTTAGAATTAGTCAATTATGTGATAAATGTTATCATATTAAATTTAATTTTTTCAGATGTCTTATCGATGATGCTACATCAAAAGATGTGATATTTATAAAAAGTCGAAGTAAAGTTGTTTATATCATTAATATTGGATTTCAAAGTGAAGAAAAATGTTAATCGTATCTAAAAGTTGATGCTTGGTATAGAAGATTATGTCATGTTACCATGTACCTACTTTTAACAATTTTCAAAAATTATTTTATTAAAGGATTGACAAATTTGAAAATTAGGAAAGAAGAGTTATTTCAAACTCATGAAACATTCTTAAAACTACAAACCTTTACTACTTTTCCGCAATGATCTTTTTGGATTATCTAGTACTGCAAGCTTAAATGGTAAACACTGTACATTCGTCATTATCGATGATTTTTTTAGATTTATTTGGGTCCCATTTTTGAACCTAAAACATGAAGCTTCGAATGTATTTAAATATTTGTGTAAAAATGTTTAAAATGAAAAATGACACTATTACAATGTTTAAAAGTAATGATAATGGAGAATTTGACAACATTGCATTTGATAATTTTTGTAATGACAATGGATATGAACATAATTTTTTTGAAACTTCTAGAATTTCTCAACAAAATGGTGTAGTAGAAAGGAAAAAGGGAAAATTAGGCCCTATACCCTTTTTTAAAAAGTGTTTTGATTAATACCCTTAAACTAATTAAACATTTTAAGAAAGTATTAAATACGTCCTAAACCTCCTAATTAACTCCAACCAAAACCCAACCTGATTAACAACAAGAAACCCAAACCATGAAATCCCACCTTCCTCATCAGAAATGCTTCCTCTCCCATTGTAGCCCCAAATCTCCATAGGCGAAATTACAAGCAAAATTCGACCAAATCCAACTGTAAATCTCCCAATCCAGAGGTCTTCTGTATTCTCTTTTGAGGTTTAAATATTTATAAGTTGTTATCCCACAGATGGATTTGCAGGTGATGGATCGGTGTCATGGGATTTGGTGGTGGTGGAGGATGCGAATCTGTGCAAGCAGTGGGGATGTGGTGGTGCATTGGATGTGGTTGTGGGATGTGGATCTAGTGACGTGGTGATGTGAGTGGTGCCGGCGTTGGTGGCACTAGCGTTCGGGCTGTGTGGCAACAATGTTTGGGTGTGGTGGTGGTTAGTGCTGAACGCTGGACACAAACAGGCCGCTTGTAGTCCTTCAAGAAGATTTCCTTTGGTGTGCAAGAATATAACCGACATAGAATCGAGTATATACGCATATGTATTTACAGTATCAAAGAAGTAATCAGACTACTTGTAGTAAGAAGATTTCCTTTGGTGTATCCATTTTGGGTTCTTCAACTTGCTTTGCTAGTGATTCTGTTGCAACAGAACAGATTAACCTCTGACTGACTTTTTTAGCACCCTGTGGAATGAAGCAGTCAGAGAAGTGGAATGAAGTAGCAGCCAGAGGAGATTGAAGCAGCAGTCGGAGAATTGAACCTTTGGGTTTGGGAAGATGAATTAGAGTTAGGATGGTGGGTTATGGTGTAGAATCGAGTGTCTGTAATGGAGTTGGTAGGTGTGGAACCATCTGTGGATTGAAGGGGTGTGGTGGCAGTGTACTAATTTGGGTGAGAAATGTGGTAGTTGTGTGGTTTGTTGGCGACTTGGAACTACCAACGACAATGCACTGGTTCTGGTTTTGGTGGAGGATTGGGAGGAGGTGCAGATGGAGGAGGTACCGACGACAATGCACTGGTTCTACGTCTCTTGGTTCGGGGACAGCCATGTCTTTTAATTTTTGTTACTTTTCTGTATTTATGTTTTAACTGTGTAAGGATTATGATAGTGAAATGCAATTTGTAGTTATCATCCAACGAATCTTGTATGGGGTGCTTGCATATTTATGTTTTCTATGAGTAATCTTCTTGTAAATCAACATTTGCAGAATGGTTTTGGTAATCAAGATTTTTGAGAGAGAAGCACTTATTTTTGTTTTCTAGCATTTTTGATTGAATTTTGGTTGGAAATTAGAGAGAGAATTGGGGGTTAGGTGAGAAGAAGAGTTGTGAATGAATGGTTTGTCACTTTTTCGTTTGGTGTTTTGTCACTTTTTCGAATGTTTGCAGTTTTTTTTAACTTTTGTCACTTTTTAGAACGTTTTGTCACTTTTTTTAAATTCATGTCACTTTTTAGTGTTCACTTTTTTCTATCACATTTTCTATTGTTTATCACCTTTTTTCTATCACTTTTTAAAAATTTGTCACTTTTTTGTAACAAACATCACTTTTTAATCAACATATTGATTGATGCTATTTTGGTATTTATCACTTTTTTTGATTTTGTTTCACTTTTTAAGAGTGTCACTTTTTGTTTTAGTTTGTGTCACTTTTTTTTTTAAAAAGTAAAAAAGTGAAAAAAGCAACATCATATTACTTTTTCATTTTACACAGTATTTTTTACTTTTTAAAAACCTTTCACATGATTTTTCAAAACATCACTAATTTTAAGGGTATTTTTGTAAGTACCCTAAGGAAAAATCACACATTGCAAGAAATGACTCTGTTGAATAAAAATGGTTTACCAAAATACTTTTTGTCCCACTTAGCTATTCGAATGTCGAATGAGCCGGTTGCACAATTGATTGTAAAAGCACTAGCGGAACATGTTATTTTCTAATATGAACGAATCGAGGACCAGATTATAGGTCGAGCTCATACGTAAAAAAAAATAAAAAAATCACTTCTTTTTTTTACCTAAAAAAATTTAGTGGTCTGGCGAGTGGGGACTGGAAACAAAATTCCGTTACATTGTCTACAGTCAAAGTCAAATATATCTTAATTGCTAGTTATTGTGTTTGAACATAGTGAAAATCGACCTATGACTTGAATATACATAATCTTGCCTACATGTCAGAAATTCTTGACATGATTGGCGTGACCGCAGATGATTGAATTTTTTTTCCCTCAATCAATTCCTGTCACGTTGTCAAAATTTTCTGTACTAATCCTTCACGTATACTCCGTTCGAATTGTTTAACGATCCACCAGCAAATCAATGTGCCCACAAATATTTGTTATTTCGACACTTTTCCGTAGTTGCTTCGTTGTAGACTCGCTATTCTATCCAAATACTAGGTCCACAGTGCTTCGCACTTTTGTCCTTTCCCTTGCCCTTTCCACATAATCTCTTTTCCTTCTAGATCCCTAACCGCCTCTTTTGCTCCTTCTACTTTCTAGAATATCTTTTAGTGTTTTGATTATTAGATTGCATAGATTTCTAGAGGTACTCTGTTTGTACTGTCTTTCTTGATATTGAATATAAAAGGTTGCTCCTTTTTAGGATTTCTTTTCATTGGTTGTTCATATATCTGTTCAATTTGAGGAAGAAATAGGGTCAAATTTAGCTGAAAATTTTGCTTTATTTCAGGTGTGTTTTCATTGCTCTTCATTCTAAGAAAGATTTCTCTAGTGGGTCGGCTCTGATTTTATCTTGGCGGTTCAGCTTCTGTTGAAATTTGAGTTTTTACAAGCGGGTTTTGATTAAAGAGCTTCCTTTATTGAAAATTCTTTGTTTTGTGGAAAAAAAATATTAAAAAGATATGATTTTGATGTCTAACATGGGATTTTCATGTAAATTATTTGAAAATGTTAGAGATTCTGAAGAATTGGGAACTTAGTTGAAGAATAAAGTGGTATTGCGAAAAGGAGTAGAGATGAGGAGAGGGAAAGATGAAGAGAAAATTATGGGGCCTATGTTTCCAAGGCTTCATGTAAATGATACAGATAAAGGAGGGCCGAAAGCACCCCCAAGAAACAAGATGGCCCTTTATGAGCAACTGAGCATCCCTACACAGAGATTCAGTCGTGGAGTTCTGCCTCTAAATCCCGCTAGTAACACCGCAGCTTCTTCAATCCCGGTTATTAGATTATTTACATTTTTGCCTTATGATGTCTGTGTCCTGATTTTTTTAGTTTACAAATGAAGCTTTCTTATATCGGAAGTTTAAGTCGATTTAGCTATTAATCATGCAGTTTATTATAATTTCTGGTAGATTTGTAAGGTTTACTGAAATAGTTTGTAACTGGTAACTGTAGTTATTGGTTGTTTTAGACCTTGTCTTGTTTTATGCCGCATTAAGTTATGTAACTTATTTTGTTATCATGGTATGCTCAGTCTTATGTGTGTGGATTGAAGTTCAACCCCGACGGAGATAAAAGCATCCTTGAAATTTGCAACTTGGTGCAAGAATCTTGTGCTAGAGAACATTTGATGGTCATATCATAGTTGTTGGAAGGATTTAGCTTCAGTTGTTCTCAAGTAATCAGTTCAGATATTTGATTCACAAGAAAGATCGCCCCCCCCTTGGCCTGAGTTCTAGGATGTTGTTCAAGGTTCAATATAGGCAATGGTTGAAGATAAAATATAGACCTTCGTTGGGAGTATGAAGTTCTAGTTTACCTTGCTAGAGTTGAGTTCTCTCAGCCGAGGAGAAACAATGCAATATTATAGGAGATAATTATTTATTTAGTTTCCTATTTTGATTCGTATTTTAGGAAACATGATTAGAGTGTAATTTAATAACTTTTATAGCGTTTCTTTACTTAGCCCCCGTTTGGTTTGAATTAAAATTCAATTAAAATCTCGAGTCAAAATCAGCAATTAATTTTATTCACATATTTCATGGGCCCATAATTTTCAACCACATATTTTATCAACTTTTATAAAAATATACTAAAAATCTAATTTTAATCTCTACCAAACAAGGGCTTAGTTAGAATATTTGAAACCCTACATATAGGGGGCTTTTTCATTGTAATAAGAGAACCTTTGAATGAATAAAAATTGATATTTTATCTCCTATCTTTCTATCCTCTTCCTCTTCTTTTTCTCCTTTCTCCCCGCCCTTTCTCTTCTTCTACACTTCTCCTACAATTGTTATATTGCATCCTACGTCAAACACTTGAAATATGTATTGTGTTATATAGGTTGTTTATTTATTATCGGCAAAAGCACGAAAAGAGAAAAAAGGATGAGAAGACCTTAAAGAGTCAGTAACTTGGATATAGTTACTTTGTTGATGGAAACGGGCTACTTAAGCTTGTAATTTATGGTTGACTAAGATACTTCTTCTCGTTATAGCCAGTCCTTTAAGATATAAGATATTTTTGCTTTTGTAACCTCACTATTGGTCTGACTGCTGCTGGCAACTCGTGTTTGCAGGGGGGTGGAAATGAAAGGGGTACATTTTTCCCACGTCAGCTGCCTGCCAGACATCAGTCTGAGAAGCTATATAGCCAATATTCTGATTTGAGCAATCCATTACCACAAGTTGAGCTGGAAAAGAAGTCTGATGAAGATGATTTTACAGTTCCCATCTCCATTCATTCTAGGCCAAGTCAAGACCCTAGTGAATATTTTAATGATGTTGAAAGGGAAAAACTCACTCCCGCCAAATGTACTAATCCCAATCCCTCAATGAAATTTTTAAAAGCTAATCATAAGAGCGTGATTGGACACTGTATAAGACAAGAAAGCAAATGGCAGAAGGAAGAGAATTTGAAAGAGTTTGTGGCTTGCCAAGACCCATCAGTTGAAGCCACCTCAAATTCTTCATCAACAAATAAGACCGGAGGTATGCAGAAGCAAAGAGATGATCCTGGTAATAGTATTGACAAAGTGAAGAATTGCAGATTACAGTCGGAGCTCAGTGCCAAGTCGCAACCTGCTGCTTCTGTGCACAGTAATGTTGTTTTGAAGAAGCATGGTACGGACATAGAGCAAGGAAATTCTTCTATATCAATAAAGGATTTTTCTTCAGAAGATGAGAACATTGTTTATGATGTCAGTAATGATGCAGAGACCCCTGAGGGTGACAGTGTGTCTGAGACTTCAATGGTCGATTCTATCTCTGCATACGATTTTTCACCTGATGACGTAGTAGGAGTAATAGGTCAGAAACATTTCTGGAAAGCCAGGAGGGCTATTGTTAAGTAAGTTCCAATGTTCGTTAATTTCTTATCTAAATTTGTTTTTGTATGGAGAATTTGGACAAGAGTTTCTGCAACGCAAAAAACAAAAATAAAAATAAAAATATTGTCTTGCATAAATTGATTAGTAATTATATGGTCTATTGAAGGTGTTTGAACACGTTTAAACTTGTGTTCATAAGAAGTTTATACAAACCAACTAAAATTCAATCGCTTGAAACCAGAAGTAACTGGTTCTTCAATTATTTATAAATGTGTTAACATTTGCTGCTAGCTGTAATGATGATATACTGATTTTATGTCAAAGTAATGTTAAAATATTTTTCAATGTGGGCCTCCATAAAAAAGAAAGAGCTGAAACAGTAAGTTCTGGAGCAAGTTGGGAGCAGGAAAAACTATTAGCTTGAAAGAAAACTTATAGTTCTTCAAAGTTTGTTGCTTTGTTGCCCCTCCCTCTGGATAGGATCTCTTGCATTTACTTTGGTTTGCAGGCCATCTTATCAGAATATAAAGCTTTGCAAGTGCTGAAATAATGCACTGTTTAAGATAGTAGCATCTTATAAGGAAAATTAAAACTCTTGTTTACCGTCTTATCAGAATATAGTTATGTCATGCCATTTCTTGTATGACATTTTTATTAGTTCAGATAGTGCCTAGACATATGGAAGATTTTCTTTCAGGCGTATTTGCACTTCTTCAGAGATTACAATTTAATTGCAGGCAGAGGATTGAATTATTTTCCTTTTAAGAAAATATAGTATATATTAGAGAACTACAAAGGTATATTTGGTAGGGATGACTCGGTAGTACTGAACACTGTTAGGGGAAAAAAGAATCTAAATTTTGTTCATTATAGTATCAATGCCAAGCACTTAATGTGTTTTTATTTTGCACAATGCCATATTGTCGGTTTTTACAAAGCTTTTCTGTATGCCTTTGACCCTATATTTCTCTCTCTTTACAGTCAACAAAAAGTTTTTGCAGTTCAAGTATTTGAGTTGCATAGATTGGTAAAGGTGAGCACAGTTGTTCAGCTTCTAGCATTACTGGGACGTAATGCAATCCCTTCATTTTTCTTTTTCTTTGCTTGTTGCAATTGCTAAAAATGTTCTGTGCAATTTTCTATTCCGTAACAGGTTCAGAGATCAATTGCTGGTTCTCCTCACCTTTTGCTTAAGGATGCTGCTTATTTGGGTAAACCTGTAAAGGCTTCTCCAGCAAAGAAACTCCCACTGGATTATAATAAAGTGCCTCTAAATGTTTCCAAGCGAAAAATGGACTCTGATAAGCCCAGCCATCCAACGGAATGCTCTGCTGAAAATACTGTGGAGAAGGCATCGGTTTCTTCTGTGCAATATAGTTTACCTCCAGTTTCAGGAAACCCTCCTGCACCATCAGTAAGTGGTGCCAATAATTTTGGGCCATGGTGTTTTAATCAACCGAACGGACAGCAGTGGCTGATTCCCATGATGACTTCTTCTGAAGGACTCATATACAAACCATATCCGGGACCAGGATTTATGGGCTCTGTCTGTGGAGGTTATGGGCCCCACGGATCTACTCCAGAATACGGGTTTCCAGCTCTGCATCATCAGTATCAACTACCTTCGTACCTGCCAGCTGGACGTCATGGATACTTCTCTCCATATGGCATGCCAATTGTGAATCCAGCCTTTTCAGGTTCATCTGTTGAGCAAGTAAACCATGTTTCCACACACAACCAATCATCAGCTAAGGAAGCTAATCCCAGTCCGCGACATAAGCACTCAGTCAATATGCCGAGCCAGAAGAGCAGCGTTTTTCCAGATGTTTCTTCATTGAGTGCATCCAAGGGTAGTGAATTCACAGCAAGTAATCCAAGTGAAAATGGGATGCGTAATGCTATGGAAGGAAGAAACGTGCTTCAGCTTTTCCCTACGTCTCCAAGTCTCGACATCCCTGACTGTAGCCCTCAGCCTCTCGAACGCGAACGCCCTGCACGAGTGATAAAGGTTGTGCCTCACAATGCCATATCTGCAACGGAATCTGCTGCTCGAATTTTTATGTCTATACAAGAAGAGAGGAAACAGTATGATTCAGTGTAGCCAAGGAAATACTGCCTGTAATTGTGTTACTGAAATTTTATATGATAGTAGGTACAAAATCTGTATATAATATTCAAAGAGATGTCTGTAGTCAATTTCTGTATTTGTTTTTGAGAATTTGCCTTGGATTTTGGGTTTAAATAATTACCATGCTTTAACTTCTTCCTCTCTTTTTTAATTTTTATTTTTATTATGCTGTGCAAATTGAGGAGAGTTTTTAAATTATAGAAAAACCTCATTTTTGGAGGTCAAGGTGAATGATCCCTTCATAATAGCATTTCTTGCTTAAAATGTCGAGTAGTGCTTTTTAGCAGGTGTTGTAGCATCAGTGTAGGTGACACTGAGATGATATATGATTAATTGAATGAATTATGGTGAATCTTTCATTTCATGACACATAAAATATTGTTATAGTATTGCTGATATTATATAACATTGTTAAAAAAAAAAAGTCTATTTTACTATAATTAACGATAATATTCTACACGAACTTCACTATAGATTGATTTTATGAGCAATACCGTCTTCTCCTTTCTCCTGTCCTTTCGATACATATTTTCGTAAAGTTGATGCATGCTCAAATGGCTTTACTATTGATAAGACTTTATGCAAACTTAATTGTGAGTACATACTTTCTTTTGCTCTCTCTCGTCTTGTTCATATATTTTCTTACACGTACAAATAACAACTTTCCTACACTAAATCCGATTATTTCCTTCACCCTTGAAATACACAGTTCCAATAGGATTAAAGCAAGGAAGGGATATCTTATCAAAAAAAAAAAAAAAAGCAATGAAGGGCTAAGATTATAGATATTTATAATTTGATGATCGACTTCCACAATTATGCCCCTTTTTGGTACATATTCTTTTGAAGCTCATTTTTAATCACACATTCTTCAATAAAATAATATTTTCCACCACATCAATAATTTTTCCTTACTTTTAAGCCACATATTTCCCATCATATCACTATTTAAAATAAATTGTTTTCTCAATAATATCCATCAAACACACGGTTCATTTCATATTGAAGAGATTGTAATATGATCATATACATTTTCAACAAAGTGTATATAAATAAATACTATGTTTATATATGAATCTTTACATTGCTTTATTTTATTTAGATTTAGACCTTATTTGATGTACATTATTGAATGGAGAATGCATTTTAAATAGTGATTTGATGGAAAATATATAATAAAAAATAAGGAAAAATTTGGATTCCGTGTACTATTATTTTATTGAGAATGCGTGGTTGAAAATTTGAAAAAATGAATTTTTGTAAGAATGTGGATCAAACAGGGTGTTAGAAATGTGTGTATGGTTGAAAATGAGTTTTGAAAAAATGAATTTTTGTGAGAATGTGGATCAAACAGGGTGTTAGAAATGTATTTATAATAGAACCCACATTTTACGTATCTTTTATTATGTGGACCCAATTCACGTCTTGAGTTTCTATTGAATCGAGATATAGAGCATATATTAATTTGAAAATTAATTTTAAAATAAAAGAGAGAAACTTTGAAAAAAAATTAAAATTGGAAGAATGCTACGGGCATGTTTAAAAGTCGTTTTCTATTTTCGATTTTTCAAAGCAGTGAAAATGTATTTTTGAAAATAAGTTTAAAATTTACAAAGAAAGCCAAAAACGACTTGTCGTTTTTGAGTGTTTTCAGTTATAATTTGGCCAAAATTTCAAAACGCTTTTTCAAAACAATTTTTAAAAATGGTAAAAAAATACATTTTCAACAATCTCAAAATGAAAACTCAAAAAATAAAATCAAAAATAAATTCAAAATTAAAAACACAAAATTGAAATACGGAGAGAACGGTTCCCTGATACTCTGAAGAAGAAGATGAATAAAAAGAAATAATTATGTTAAGTGACGTTTCAAGAAAGGTCGATTATCGTTACGGTGGGCGTCCACCTTAGTATCTCGAATTTCTTTCAGAAGTATCACTGCGTAAAGTGCGATTATTTTACCTTTTAACAGCACATAATGATCCCGCTCTTTGACCTATAAATCTATAGTGAAACTCGGTAGAATTTGCTTCTCTGAAATGGCCTCCCCTCACCAGGCCCCCACTCCACTGCTACCTGACTCTGGTAATTTTTTTTATTTACCAATTTTAATTTAATTATTCTGCTTATTTTGAGACGAAAACAATTATTTCTTGCCTTTTGCTTAATTTTTGTGTTGCTTTTTTTTGTTTTGTTTTTTTGTACATCGTCAATTGTGGTTTGATTGCTATGTGATCTGATGAATTCACTTTCGTTTTCTCACTTTTTGATCAATTATAAATATGAGATTTCTGTTTATGCGTATTCTTTTTAGCTTTTTAGTTGTGAAACACACTCGATTTTTACTGGAAAATGATCAATTGTTGTAACGTGTTGTTTTGACGGTCGTATGGTTTATTATTACTATTTTATATGGAGACTATAATAAACACGGTGTTTATGATTTATTTTTTTCATTTCTGCTGCTGTAATGTTGTTTAATGGTAGTTGAATTTATTAAAATGGTGTTCAATTTAGCTATAACGGTATTGACCATGGAGGCACACTCATATGATTATTATGCTATTAATGAATAAAATTTAAATTTACATTGATGCTTTGAAGCTTAAAATTGATGCAGGACTTGCAAATTTATGCGGTATATGGTTATGCATTTTGTGTTGAACCTTGAGTATATAGTAGGAAGGGAGAATTCAACGGTTATTTGCCCAGGAAACTATGTGGTTGTGGTTTTTATTTGGGGAGCACTCATATGCTATGTGGTATTTGAAAGGTCGCTTCATTGGATTTTTGTAGGTGACAAACCTTGCAACAATGAAGAACTACTGTCTCCAGTTCCAATACATGTTGTTACCAGTGCACGTCAACTTCCTGCTGAATTTCTGGAGCCTTCGCCTGAGAAGCAACTAGTAATAGGCTTTGATTGTGAGGGGGTTGACCTTTGTCGCCATGGGACTCTTTGCATCATGCAGGTTTGTTTAAATTTCACTATCAAGTTATAGTTTATTTCCTGTAGAATTGAGAGTTCTTTCCTGGTCATGATATCAATTTCTTCATTTTCGAACCATATTTTTATGAAGACAAACATGTCAACCTTCTTTGAAGGTTTGAAGTGCTTACAGTTTTTTGTGGACCCCTTAAGAATATCGAATGAGAAGCTTGTGTGCTACTATATGTTTTGTGGATTCTTTTACAATAAACTCAGGAAAGTTACTTAAAATGTGGAAGTAGGGATAATCTAGTCAAAAATAGTATTTATGAATTAGACGTAGCAATTTTAGAGTGCTATACGTGTTATTTTATTCTTAAAATTATTTATATGAAAGATGAAACTTCTAATTAAAGTATGAATTACAAAAAAAAAAAGAAGAAGAATAAAATATTCATCCTAAGAACAATGTCCTTTCTATTAACTTAAAAAATTATGTGACGTTCAAATTTGTTCAACCAATTGTTTCTGCCTTCTGCAGCTTGCCTTCCCAGATGCAATATATTTGGTTGATGCCATTGAGGGTGGTGAGATGCTTGTAAAAGCCTGTAAGCCTGCACTTGAGTCTAGTTACATCACAAAAGTTATTCACGATTGCAAACGAGATAGTGAGGTCTCTTACTGTAGTCGTCTCTCCTTGGATCTCAATATGATGTGGAAGATACCATTTTTGATTTTTTTTCTCCTATTATTGCAGGCATTATATTTTCAATTTGGCATCAAGTTACACAATGTTGTTGATTCCCAGGTTAGTTGCTCTTTTGTTCAGTTTTTCTATTCTGAATGTTGTCTGGTAGCCATAGTGTTGTACGAATAACTAGAATGACAATTGACATGGAGATTGTATTCTCTAATGATCAGACTCTTCGAAATGAATGAAGTACCCGTGTCGACACAACATGGATATGGGTATGGGATATGTGTCGGATCATCTAAATTTCAATCGGACACTTCACTGTTTCTGCTTTTTTTTTTCCTTTCCCTTTTCTTTCTCGATTCTACTCTTTGTAAACTTTGAGCCGCCGCCGAGAAGGTGGAGGAAGGCGGCAACACTAGGTTTTCCCTTTTTTTTTCCCTTCTTTCCCTCTTCGTATCGATGCTTTAGTATTTTCTTTGTATAAAATGAAAATGAGTTCCATAAAGTGGTATTTAGTGTTCCACTAAATCCAAATTGCAATCAAGTCCCTCATTTTCTATTTGATATAACATTTAGTAATTAACTTCTCATAATTGAAAGTTAAATCCCAAAATTCTATTTTATTCGTTTTAACCTCTTATTCAATATTCATTTATTTCTTTGTAAATAATTGATTTTGGTCTATTTAAAATGACATATTGAGTTAGTAAAAGAAAAAAATTGAAGTTTGAAAGACGTATTCACGTACTCGTGTTCGAAATTTGGACTCTTTTTAGCCATGTTTTCGAAATTTGGTTTCTTTTTAGCCATGTTTCTGTATACGTACTCGTAACCGAGTTCGAGTATCATAGATCATATTTGTTAACTCCACATTCCTTTGCAGCAGGGATGTATTAATATATAGTTGAGGATCATATTTATTTTTATGTTTGAAAATATATGCGAAGTTTAAGGTTGTAAAGTTTTAGTTCACGATTTTATGAGGTTTTTTCTAAAAGATATGGTCTTCCTAGTTTTAATATGTACGTGCTTAAACCACTCATGGGCTTCTTTGAGTCAACAACATTCTCTTTGTTTTCTTTTTTCTGCTTTTAACCTTTTATACAATTGGGATATGAGTTCAAGTAAAATATATTGAGCTCAAGCTTGACTCAGTTCAATGTCTTGAGGTTCAAGCTTGGATCTAGGGAGTACAAACCTTTAGCTTGTTGATTTACGGTTTCCTATTTTCAAAAACGAAACAGGGAGAGTTGGTTGCGGGGAAGATGTGATGTAGCATTGCCATTCTTTTTCTTTTCTCCTCTTGTTCTCATTGGTTAAATGTTAATTATTATTGGTAGTTCTTTTAGGCATTGTATCCGATGGTAATACAGTTCAATTAAAATTAATGTATTCTTCACAAACAGATTGCTTATTCTTTGATTAAGGAGCAAGAAGGACAGAAAAGAGTGCCTGATGACTACATTTCATTTGTTGGCCTCCTCGCTGACCCACAATACTGTGGTATATACTGCATTTCTGGCACTTATTGCTTACATTGTTCCTTGTAAATCTTTGCTTGTGGTGTACCTGTTTGAGCTTTTTTATTCTTTGCTAATGTAAACTGGGCTTGAGTCATTTTATCCTGAAAGGTTTTAGTTTCTAATGATAGCCTGTGTATCACAAATGCAAGGGTGGAGAACTTTCAGAGAATGAGCTGCATTGTCAGACCAACTAGATTTTGAAGGCCATCTCATTTTATTTTTGAATTTACTGCTGTACACAATTTGTAATAAAGATGTAGCCCGTGGAGCTTGTAAGTCCCAAAACATATGCAGCATGCATGTCAAGATTCAAAAATATAGGCAATCATCTATCAACTCGTCTGCTTAACTGATCACCTGATTGATCATTTTGTCCTAATTCTCTGGCATACTTCTGCCTTCGATTAATATTATTCTACTTTGTTTCTGACCCAACGTATCATTGGTCTATGCTTGATGCATCTAGAAATGAACTTTCCTATTTATATGAGTCGATGACAGAGAGGACAGCTAAATGAGAGTTTTCTGACACTGCTTCGACATGGATCCTATGCAAAATGCGATTTCTGTATCTGCTGGAAGACAAGGAACATTGCATTGAAGCATTGTCATATCAATAGAAAACAACTTCATTGACCTATCACAAGTACCGCCTGTTTGGTTTAGATACAAATAAGATTTTTAGTAGATTTTGATAAAAGTTGATAGATTATGCGGTTGAACAGGGGATTAATATCAAATTGGATAAAATAAAAGTTTTTAAAATTATTTAATTAATTAGAGAAGGAACACTTTTTTAGAATTTAGAGGGACTAGAATATTGGATATTGGATAAAATAAAAGTTTTAAAAATTATTTAATTTGTTAAAGGGTATTTAAGTCTTATTGGATAAAATAAAAGTTTTACTTCAACATGGTATCAGAGCAAGGTTTTGGGAGATTAATTCCATAAGATTTGTTCAAACAACCTTTTTTTTTTCT